ATCGTTTAAATAAATCATTCACTTCAAAAACACATTCATCATTGGATGAGGTGAAACCACAGTGGACTTAACACCATTTAACATGGATTATTCTCTCACAAATGCAAAAATGACTATCCAGATCAAATTAGGCAACCAATAACCATTAAATTCCTTCAAATATGGGTATAGCCTCTAGGTATCATTGTGTCAATTGAATATCCACACGCATCGATATATGCATGTGTGTGTGTCGATATATATCTATATATATATATATATCAGCATAGAAACAGATCCCTGCAGGATGCTAAAAACCTGATTGCAAATAAAAAGCAGATTTCAAAATCACATGATAATTAATTAATTAATTAAAATCAACAATATTGAATATTAGATTATATAAAAGTTTTTGCAAATTACATCCTCAGTGCAACTCCACTCGTAAGGGCAATTTCGATTCTGTTCATGCATCAAGGTGACCTCGGGTTTCTTTTTCTTTTCCTGTAAGGTTTACCGTGCGGTTCTTGTTTTGGCTCATTTGGAATGTAAGTATCAGTCAGAGCAGATTCTGATACGAAAACAGTCACTAATAGACGCAAAGTTAGCCTGCAATAATTTGTTAATAACATATAGAATTACGTACGTACAACTATGAAAGAAAACTTATATTTCTAAACATCCTCCTCGATCAGTGTTGATAACACCAAAACTAATACTATAAAATCAATAGGTGTAGTTTAATTTACCTCATTCTCACTAATTATCACTCGTGGATATATTCAATCTGTTAATAAGATATAAGCATGACGTTAAAGATAAAAGAGTTATGGTCAAATTGTTTGTTACCATGAACATAGACGATTGTTTCATAAATCTGTTCTTGACAATTAATTAATGTAAGTCTTAGTACTGAAAAATAGCTGTTTGCGAGTATTACAAAAAGGGGATAAACACGTGACAAGGATGAGCTGCAGCAAGCTATTCCAGGGGCCAGCTTTGGATTGACTAAAGTTTCCTTCGTCTCCTCAGATTTCAGGGATTGGTTGATGCTCGTCCCCACTGAATTTTTTTTTTTTATTTACTGTTATATACCACTGAGTTTTCTTATTCCCCCCCCAAATCCGTCCCTACCCATCCTCAATCCGTCCCTCTTGTATATATACCTTTAAACCAAGCATCCTTGCCCCCAACTATTTGGTGCACAAAAGTCAAAACCCCCCACTTTTCTTTTGGTGCAAAAAACCCCCTACAATCCATTTTGACTAATTTTTTTACGAAAATTCCAAAACTGCCCTTTCCACGGTGACCACCAAAGAGCCACCACCCACCACCAATCACTCCACCGCACTCGCCGGAGCAGAGAGACACACATACGTAATATCAAATGTTTCATTGGAGCATACACAGAGAGAGAGACACACACACACATATATATATATATATATATATATTCATATATCGGCATCAATGGATGACAAGCTCTAATAATTTTTTTTTTTTTTGAAGATCATAGAAAGTGAGTTGCAGAGACCCATTTGTTCAGGCGAGAAGATTGAGAATCAACAACCCAACCCGGTGGTCACCAATGGACAGTACTTTGAAAAACCTTTTTCTAAGTTTTATTATTATTATTTTTCTCCATGAAATGCAGTTTTTATGGATAAAATAGGACTTCTGATCTGCATTCTTCCCCAGCTTGATTCTCTGAAGCGTAAGGAGAGCTTGGTTATCAGACAAAGATGGGCTCGATGGTAAAGGCGATAGAACACTGGGAGAGATTGCAGGGAAATTGAATATCTCAATCTTGAAAATCGCCGGGTTAGAAAATTTTGTTTTGTTTCGCCGGCGAATCCCAGTTCAGATCGTCGTCCTCCCTCGCCGACCACAGTGAGTACCACCTTAATCACAGATCCGTGGCCGCGCGCCGTTCAGAGCAAAGGCCATTACCCTCTGCCTTACCCGCCATTTCTAGCTGACCGCCGTTAGTTCCTCTGCACCGCCATCACCACCGCTTCGAACCACCATCTGTAGCTACGGTTCCGGTCCTAGTTCGTCGCCGGTCACTCCTTCGTCGACGTTCAGTCACGCCGCCGTCCTCATGGACCTTGAACCGCGTGCAATGGAAAGCGTCAGACGGTCAGACCCGGACCCTTCATCAGTTGTTGTCACCGTGACAGACACACCACATAGCACCGATCCATCCTCAGCCGTCCAAAGCATCCAGACCAACACCCATACACGAGCCACTGCGCGTACTCTTCGAGTCGCTGCTCGCCGCTGCCATATTCGGTCGTCACAAGCCACCGGCCATACCCAACCCCAAATTCCGAATCTGTCATGATTTTGTAGGGGGCAGTTTTGGAATTTTTGTGAAAAAAATTAGTCAAAATGGGTTGTAGGGGTTTTTTTGCACCAAAAGGAAAGTGGGGGGTTTTGTGCACCTAAGGAAACAATAGGGTTTTTTTTTTCACCTTTTGAACGTAAGTGGGGTGTTTTTTGCACTTCATGTTTATTATACCATTTTGACAAGTATCGTTCTTTCCTTTTTCTAGTCCCTCACACCTTACAAGCTTTAAGCTTAAGTTAATTTGCCATCAATCTTTAGATTGAGTCCAGATCCTCTGCAGTGTACCATTGCACCGTGCAATAAACAATATATCAAAAAAGAGTACGTTGTGATCGCGGTATAGATATTCCATACGCATCTACACTTGTGAGCACAAAAAGTCAATTTGTGTGAGACGAATTATGACTCATTTGATTTACAGTAGTAACAATTTTGACAAGTGAGAGGTTTTGAAGAAGGCGGCATTGTTTGAGTATCCTTTTGAATTTTCTATTTTATTTAAATAATCAATTATCCATGAATGTTTTACATATTCTTAAGTTAATTCAATGCACGAGACTTTCATTATTGCATTACATAGAATATTACATCTAGATGGTCTTGAAGTGTAATAAATAGATATTTGAAATTTGCAAACGTTTTGTAAAATGATAAACATCATGAAAATTCTTTAATAAATTTTATCTTGAAAAACATGGCAACAACTTTTTTTGACACATTTTTCCTTTTTTCTTCTTTTTTTGAATCCCCAATATTGAAAGGAGAAAGTAGATATGTATATGCATAAGAAGAGATAAAGAGAACTGGTTTTGAAGAGCATGAACATAATCATGCAATCAAAATTTTCTAATGAAAATTAATTGTAGCATCCCCTCCGAAAAAAAATCTTCTTTTGTGATGTTAATAGAAAGAAAAACTTTAGTTCCATTCTCACTACAACAAAATAGGCATTCTGCCACAAAATATTTTGTGGCAAAAAACTAATTTTTTGCTGTAAAATATTATTTGTTATGAAAAAAAATTGCGGCAAGGTCGTGGCAACAAATTTTGTGGCGAGATCTCTATATTCAAATTTGATCACAATAAAAAAATAAAAACAACAACAACAACAAACCACTAAATTAAACTGTATTATGAAAAAAAAAAAAAAAATCTGTTGAACCATTCTTTCTCCATTTTTTAATCTGTTTGAGTATTTCACATTTTAAAAAAGTCAACCAAAAATCAGAAGCTTGAAAGGATTAATAATAGGTATTTCAGGTCATATGATCTATTCACAGTGGCTTGGAGAGGTCTGGCAGCCGGCTCTGATTTGGACTTTGAAAAATATAAGAATTTCATGTATCATTTAAGTAAATGGCCTTAAATCACTCATATTACCATATATATATATATATATATATATATAATTTGGCCAATGAAAAAGAGCCAAGTATCATTCAAGATCTAAATCATGAAATTTATTCATTGTGCTCTTCTTCTCAACCTAGTTTTGCAGTTCTTATAAAAACAAAAGAGGTGTTTGCTTTAATTGCCAAAAAGACTTCTATAGTTCTATGTTGTTAGTGCTTTTTTTGGGCCTTCTAGGCCTTGTGGACAGCTAGTGTAGTAGTGTGGTTGTTGTAGTTGGGCTTTTAAACCTTCAGGCTGTGTTAGTTTTTCTGTTGTCTTGAGCCAACTTTTTGAGACCACAGTAATTTTTTTCTTATTTGGCAGTGTTAGGTTTTCTGTTGTTTTTGGGCCTAATTTTATAGGCCCACCCTCTGTAAATTTTTCTCTTATTATTTGCTTTACCGTTAAAAAAAAAGAAGAAAAATTAATAGTATTAATAATAGAGTAGTTTTTTTTTTTTTTTTTTTTTTGCTGGCATCGGAACTCCCCTAGGTAGGGCCCCTTAGGGACCCACTTCAGGCTACAAACCGGGGATGCTGTCATTAATAATAAAGTTAATGACAAGAGACACGGTTTTTTTTTTTTTAATTTAGAAGAATAATTTAAGGACAATAGTTATTGAATTTTATTTATGTAGGTGGGATGGTGAGCCTCCACTATATGACATCATATTACGTCATATAACCCACTATTTCTCAAATAAATTTAATTAATTCGATAATTAAAATAGTATTATACATACTTAGTAGATTTAAATAGTTAATGAACGTGATAAGTCGAAAGAAATCTTCAATTAGAAAAACTGTGTTGTTACAAGAGCTTCTCTTACTCTCAATATACAACAATAAATTGAAGTGTTCCCTTTAGCTATTGTAATTTATGTATGAGTTAGTAGAAAGAAATTTTAACTAAATGAAATCATTAGCGTAGATGTGGAGTCTTTTGATTTTTTTTTCAATCTTTTGTATTTTCTGGTGTTTGATTATTGTAAAAAAATATATTAAAACTTAACAAAAATAACTTATTCATTAATTTTTAACAAACTATTTTACATGTCCCACCCAACTATTTTACATGTCACACCCGATGGACTTGATCTAAAATTTACCAAACATAAAAAAAAAATTAAATAAAACACAACCAATTCTCCACATGATTAAACATAGAAAACGAAGGCTAAACGATGAAAAAAAAAAAAAAAAAAAAAAGTCATACCAATTCTTATCAAACAACTGAGCGTGCATTTCATTATAACAAGATTCACTACACAGAGAACAAGGATCCGAAAGCACCATATATTTACATAAAAGCATGGAACCTTAGCAGAACATTATGTCGACTTTTACATAATTATTTACGTAATTACAAACCAAAGCAAATATATATAGCAAGCTAACATCTTCAAGCATCTAACATCGTAGAGTTCAAGTTCTTCATTTACTATGATTGCTCAATTTGCTCCAAAAAAAACTCCGGTGTCATTCCCTGAAAATGTTAAAAGGGTGAGCCAACGCTCATTGAGAAAAGCTTACAGTTATCACTATGAAGAGGTTTTGAAATGAAACATGCACATGCGCGCGCACATATATATATAATTAAATTACTGATAAATTCGAAGGTATGGCCAGAAATTCAACAATGAAGTACAATCATCATCTTTTAAAACTATGCTTTTCCAAACAAATTCAATACAGATTGAATGGTCATACCCCATCTTTTCCGGTTATCTTAGCTAGAAGAGTGTCACCAATTACGCATCCCCTTGGAGTGATTTATGGAAAGATATCCTCAATTTTGATCTTTCATTATAGAATTGGTGAATTGCATCAATCATATCCAATGGTGGCCTCCGAGAGGAAACCACCAGCCAACCTTTCGCACCAGCGTGGGTTTCGGCTCTTTCAAGGGTAACTCGTACCCTACTTGCTTCTTTAAGAAAACTCAAACAAGTACCACAGCCCTAAATCATCACATTCGACACATTCACCAATTTTTCAACTATCCAATCTTTTATAAATCTGTCTACACATTTAGGCTCATCCCTTCCAAGGTCTACAGATTTAAGAACATGAATGATTTCTCCATTTTAATTTTGTGTTGTGTTTTGATTTTTTCAATTCCTGACTCCTATAGTAACATCATCCATTTTAATATCATTCAAACTCCAATTAAATCATCCTCAATATTTCAATAGACAATTTTGATTTGCTAAACTCTGATTTTTTAGTCCTACTTGATACTTTAGAGTGTTGTCTTAGCAAACAATATATATATATATATATTGCAACGGCTAGTTAGTTTTGGGGTTGGGCTAGGTTTGCCTTCTGGGCTAGTTTTTTATTTTTTTTGTTTGGGCTTTGTCCCCTTCTCTTGTACATTTTTATGTAAGAGGCCCAGTGTTGTGCGATCTGACCTAAGAGGTTCAGTGCCAAGACTCAACCCACCCAATCACTTTTTTATTCGAATTCGATGTGGGACAATTTCTCCATATAAAAGTAAGTCACTTGACCTTGGTGTCTCACAAAACATTAAGTTTAAGGTTCGATCCCTCTTGGGTATAAATGATTGGGTATGTGTGACTATCAAGTATCAACTAGAAGGAGAGGAAAAAAAGACCAAAAAAAAAAATAGTCCCCTTGAGCCATCAATATTCTTCTGATGAAGTCTTCGGCACGTGTATTAAAACTATCTTTTGCAATTTCTACAAAAGAGGAAATAACAAAGGTTAAACTAATATTTTTAATAAATCTCTCAATTAGAAGGAAAAAAAAAAAAAAAAAAAAAAAACTCATTGCTCCCTTAATAAACATTGTCATTTGGAGTCCTAGCATTAAGAAACCCACACAGGCCTTATATATTATTCTTCCATCCTTTTCACCACAACATGGACCAAAGGAATCCACTCTAATGGTACTTTTCAACACAGAATGGGTGAGCTGATATCAATGGCAACTCCACTCATAACAACAGAAACTATGCCAATTTAAAACTGCATTCTTGTTAAGTTTCCTTTCCGTTCATGCATCAAAATGACAGATATTACCTTGTGGTTATTGTTTTGGCTCCTTTAGTATGAAAGCATCAGTCAAAGCAGATCGTGATACAAAAGCAGACTCTAGTAGACGCAAAGCCTGCAAAAGAAATATATGTATCTTTAATTTTTTGCAAGGAGTTAAAACAACAATAATTATGAAAGATGGCCTATACTTCTAAACATATTCCTGATACGAATTTGCACGTGGAGAGGTAGAACAAAGTGATGAACCCAAGACAAATATAAAAAGAATTAGGTCCACTCCAGAGGAGTTAATTTACCTCCTCCTCCCCAATGGTTACTTCTCGCTCTACAATGTCACTGATGGGTATATTCGATTTGTTAATAAGAGATAAGCCTGAGATTGGAGATAAAGGAGTTATGATCAAATTGTCTGTCACCATGAACATCGATGGTCCTTTCATGAATCCTTCGCGAATTGTAGCTACCCTTGACTGTGATATTATTTCCCATGCAAAAGAATTTCTTCCAAAAAGGGATTCAACAGTTGACCATGACGGATGTAAAGCTTCCTTGATGAGAATGAGCTGTGTACTGTAAGCTATTCCAGGGGCCAGCTTTGGATCAACTAAAGTTGCCTTCATCTCCTCAGAATTTAAATATTTGTCAACGTCAAAATCTTTTATGCTGTTGTATAAGTTACCCAAGCACCCCTTCAAGGACAAAGATGGTAATTTATTAAGAAAATAACCAAGTGGAAATGTGAGAAAACTGCAGATGAGATCAACAAAATCTTTCTCTGCTTCAGCATACAATGCCTTGTTGTTACATTCGTTGATGATAAGCTTCAAAGCTATCTTTGCTTCTTTTGATCTTGTTGTATCCATGCCGCTTTGAGATTCAGTTGTGCTTCTTGGACTAAATTCTACACGGCGAATTGCAGAACTGGTTTTACTGACAGGTGATTCCAAGACAGTCTCAGAAAAAGGTGCCATAGATGTTAAAGAACAATTGATCAACTTCAGAACCTGAGAGAACACCATCCATTTTGTTAACTTGCGTGCAGACTAATAGACTAATAGTAAAGAACAATCAATTAATTTGTTAATTACCTCATCCTTGCCTATGTTTATACACCTCTCTTTTATTGTGCTTCCATCCACAGCTCCAAGCTCTTTAAGCAAGGTTAAGCAAGTCATAGTGGACATGGGCAGTACTTGAAAGTCATCAGTTATCATAAAGCGTGCGGTTGGTTTCACAAAAACCCCTCCAACTCCAGGAAGAGATACAGGATTTTTCGGTTTCACCATATAACCTATGTCGTTTCCACAATGGCAACGGGCAGTCTTGTAAGGGCTCAAAGTGCATCCGCTCCCGCAGACATAGTACTCATTAGAATTACTATCAACAAAATGTAGTTTAAGGTTTCTGCTGTAAATTTCAGCAGCACTCCGAGGACATAGCAGCATCTCCTTGCGCTTCTCACTTTGCAGGTATTTATCATCAAGATTCTCAATACTTTCATATAAGTTGTTCAGGCAACCAATCCCCCATTTCAATGCTTGTTCACGGGTGAGTCTAATAATGGTTCCAATTGGCATAGTCATGAAGCTGAAGAGAACATCAACAAAATCATTATCGGACTCAGCAAAAACAACTCGATTCTTCTCTTCATCCACCAGGACCTTCAGACTTGGACTTTGTGAAGCTTCATGTGCCATTGCTTTGATGGAAGAGGAAATAAAAAAGAAAAGAAAAGAATTGGCAACCAAGTAGATATTAGTTTATATTTTAAGCAAATGCACTCGGCATTAACTAACACATGATATTTTATACCTACCAAAGAAAAACCCTAATATTTTGTACTTTAAGCAAATGTACTCTATATTTTTTTTATATGATTGTGGTTTGGTCTTTTCTCAAGTTTATTAAATTAGCCTTTTAATTTAAGATTAAAATGAAATTATCTATATGCATGTTGTTGGAGCCCTAAAACCTCAATCGAAAGACAGTTGATTTGTACGATGGTGTACATTAGGACAAGAATTTACTTAAAAACACATTAGAATAAATTTATATATATAGATATATATACACACAACACACATTTAAATTAAGAACTAGTTCAGTGGAGTCTTTGAATCTTGTGTAAGACATCATTGAATATGATGAACAGAAGGAAAAAAAAAAAAAAGGAAAGGAAAATATGCAGTTGCAAACCATGGCCTAGCTATTTCAGGCTTTTCAGCATTAAATTTGACTAATTTACCGGACAATTCGATACAACTTTTCGATTCTTAGATGTGTTTTATGCACTATATCCATAATAGAATAATTTGAAATAGTTTTATTTATTTATTTATTTTTGGGTAAGTTAATTTGAAATAGTTTTGAGGTGAAAATATAAGTGAAATCAAGGGAATCCAATGAACACAAGGTTTCAGTCATGACTGAAACAGCTTCTTTGGCACTAAAATATTCTATCAAATTTTAGTACAAATTAACCTAAAATTTATAGCATTAGATTCATCTTGCGGGGTTCCAGTTACTGGAATAGGGTCAATTACATATAATCATGTAATTGAAAAAGTGGAGTTAAATATTTGTTATTAACAGAAAAGTAAAGAATCCAGAACAATTGAATGCATAAAATTTACCACGTAGCAACAATTTCACTTTCACCTAATGACAAGCATAAAAGTAATGAATCGTGAACAATTTATGTATACATGTAAATAAACTGATATCAGCTTTGCCCTTTCAACACCAAATAAAAACCATATAACATTTTGTCCTCAAAACTAAAACAACAGTAACTGCAATTCCTTAATTTTATAATACATGAAGATGAAGAAGATCAAATTAAGAAGTAGCCTCTGTTAAACAAACAAATTTAAATACTCAAGAATGGAAGAGATAGATGGTACCTGAACTGACCAAGCAAGAAGAACACAGCCTCAAATGTCTGAATATATGTTAATTTGTGGGGGGCGTTGAAGCTTTAGAGAGGAAGTGAAGTATGGATGATGATTTATGAATGAGTTTTAAAAGGGTAAGCATTTACTCCGTACATAAAGAAAAGTAGTAGGAGAGGGGAAACAATAAATTCAATACTTTTGGCATGTGATAAGAAAAAAGACAAAAAGATAACAGTAATTAGTTAATTACTACGCATGAGAAAGTTAAAAAGAAGGGTGCTGTTAATATTTTATGGTTAATTAATGAGGAAATATATTGTGATAATTAATTTTGGAAAATTAAAATTAAAAATTTATTTTATTGAATTTATCATTATACTCTTTTATTTTTAAAAGAATTAAAATATATTTTGTTTTTGTCCTCAGTGAAATCAATATTATGAACATTTCATTGAACAATGCGTCATTTCCATTCATCTCAGATCATGAACACCTCATTTTTCTTCTATTTTTTTTTTTTAATTTCCTTTCATAATTTCTCTAACCCCTCTTTTTCCCTCCACTTCCTTTTATTTCTTAACATAATTCATTATAACAATAAGACAAAGTTTCTTTCCATTAGTTTCATTCCTTTTTTTTCTTTTTTTTTCAAATATATTACCACCAAAGTTTGTAGTGTGCAAGTCCCATAATAGGTGCAAGTGTGTTTTCCTTGCCAAGGTGGTAAAAAAAAAAAAAAAAACACTTAAATTGTACTGACCCTTAATATTTATTTCCAATAAAAGTATTTTAAACTTTATTTTTTTAAAAAAACAATTCTGTTAGACTATACTGACCCTAAATATTTATTTCCAAATAAAAGTATTTCAAACTTTCTCCATTTTAATTTTGTGTTGTGTTTTGATTTTCTCAATTCCTGACTCCCAAGTAACATCATCTATTTTAATATCATTCGAACTCCAATTAAATCATCCTCAATATTTGAATAGACAATTTTGATTTTCTCAACTCTGATTTTTTTTTTTTTTTTTTGTTTTAGTCTTCATACATTAGAGTCTCTTACCAAACAATAAATATATATATATATATTTTGACCCCTTGCAAAATTGGATGTCTTCCCTTTGGAAGACTGCAGGAGTTCTTTCCAAGTTTGCTGTCTCTTGTGTTTGTCGCAACGGCTAGTTGGTTTTGGGGTTGGGCTAGGTTTGCCTTCTGGGCTTGTTTGTTGTTTTGTTTGGGCTTTGTCCCCTCCTCCTTTTGTACATTTTTATGTTAAGAGGTCCTTGCAATCGACCTAAAAAGTCCGATGTCAAAACTCACTTCTCTAGATTACAGGTTGGGTGAAAAAGTAGGTTTAAAGTTCAATACCTCTTGATTTGACAGTTGACTACAAACTATTTTTTTTTTTGGAGGGGTGTGTGTCCTATCAACAAGAAAAAGAGGGAAAAAAAATATATATATATATATATATATATATAGAGTCCACTTGAGCCATCATCTTCGGCATGTGTATGAAAGCTCTCTTTGGTAACTAGTACAAAAGAGGAAATAACAAAGGTTAAACTACAAATTTTAATAACTAAAAAAAAAAAAAAAACCATTCCTCCTTTAATAAATATGTCATCTGGAGTCATAGCATTAAAAACCCCACGCCATAATATCTTGTTAGTCAAGCTCGCACAACAGTCCTACAAGAGCTAATAACCCACATATAAATTATACCAAGTCCAAGAGACCTCATTACCAAAAACTACCACCATCAAGCTCCAAGGCATCTAAGAACTAATGTTTGGAAACTGTTGGACTCAAGCTGCAAGAAACAATTACGTAGAAACACACAAAATTAGACCAAAGCACAAAATGCATATACAGGCGCGACAACAACATACTAATTATTAAACAGAAATAAGCCCAGAGAAAGTTATGTCACAAGTTGGTAGCTTAATTCATATACAGCTCACAAGTCCAAAGTGTAACATAAACCCTCAAGTTTAAGAAGAAAACAAAATTAGATCAAAGCTCAGAAGCTACTAGCACCAAAAGTATATTGTAGATGGAATGACAACATTATAATTAATAAACGTAAATAAATTCAGAGCAAGTTCAGTGTCATGCTGGGAAGTTTGGAATTCCAAAAACTAACATAAAAGCAAAAGTATCCTTTATTTGAACATAAGAAAAGACAATGAGAACGCACAAAAAAAATAATAATAATAATAAAAATAAATAAAAAATAAAAACGTGAAGTTTTTATCTGAAAATCAATGTAAGATTACCTACCCAACCAAATAACAAAAATTGATTGACGAGGTCTCTTATTTTGCACTATATAATCTAGAAATTTGTACTCTCCCAAGAAAATCACTAAATATAGGGCTTTTGATGCACCCAGATAAAATCAAAGTATCTTCTAACACAATCTTATGACCCCGGAGAATCAGTAATAAATTTTTTTTTTTAATAGTTCTCAACTGAAAGAGAAAATAAACCGCCAGCAAGCTCAAGATTAAGTTTATTTAAATATAATTGTCTTATATAATAAAATGATTTCTTTTAATGAAATGGGGTTTTTCAAATTTAATCATAGCAAGAAAAAATGACATATCATAACCTTCAACCATACATTCAAATTACAAAATTGCCCTTCTTTACAATAAAAATAAATAAATAAATAATAATAATAATAATAATAATAATAATAAAAATAAAAACATTTGGAAAATGAATATCCAACTCAGCACACCACAGGATGGAACAACGGAAACTGATAAACCATGCCAATTTATAACAGCATTCCTCTTAGAGTTTCCTTTCCCTTCATGCATCGAGATGACTGATATTACCTTGTGGTTTTTGTTTTGGCTCCTTTAGTATGAAAGCATCAGTCAGAGCTGATCTTGATACCAAAGCAGCCTCTAGTAGACGCAAAGCCTGCAAAAGAAATATATATATATACAACAATTGTCGGCAAGGAATTATTAGAACAACAATTAAGAAATAGACATCAGATAGCTAGAAGAAAGTAATGAACCCAAGACCAATATAAAAAAACAATAGGTCCAGAGGATTTTATTTACCTCCTCCTCACCAATAGTAACTTCTCGTTCTACAATGTCACTGAAGGGAATATTCAATTTGTTAATAAGAGATAAGCCTAACAGTGGAGATAAAGGTGTTATGGTCAAATTGTCTGTCACCATGTACTTTGATGGTCCTTTCATGAATCTCTCGCCAGTTGTAGCTTCCGTTAAATTAAAATAACTTACTCCAAACAGGGAAGAAACAGTTGACCACGACGGATATAAAGCTTCCTCAATGGGGATGAGCAGCTTATTGTAAGCAATTCCATGGGGCAGCTTTGGATTGACTAACGTTGCCTTCATCTCCTCAGATTTAAAGAATTCGTCAACATCAAGTGCCAGGATGCTCTTGTATAAGTTAGCCAAGCATCCCCTCAATGACAAACATGGAAATTCTTTAAATACATAACCAAGTGGAAAGGTGAGAAAACTGTTGATAAGATTAACAAAATCTTCCCTAGCTTCAACATACAATGCCCTGTTGTTGCATTTGTTGATAATAAGCTTGAAAGCTATCTTTACTTCTGTTGATCTTGTTGTGTCCATAGCCCTTTGAGATTCAATTGTGCTTCTTGGACTCAATTCTCCATGATGGATTGCAAAACTGGTTTTTTTGTCTTGTGATTCCAAGACAGTCTCAGAAAAAGGTGCCATAGATGTTAATGAAGCCTTGAACAACTTCAGAACCTGAGAGAAAGACCGTCCATTTTGTTATTTTAAATGTAGACCAAAAGATAAAAAAATAAAAAATCAATCAACTTGTTAATTACCTCGTCCTTGCCTATGTTTATACACCTCTCTTTTATTGTGCTTCCATCCACAGCTCCAAGCTCTTTAAGTAAGGTTAAGCAAGTCATAGTGGACATAGGCAGTACTTGAAAGTCATCAGTTATCATGAAGCGTGAGGTGGGTTTCACAAAAACCCCTCCAACTGGGGGAACAGATTTTCGATTTTCCAGTTTCACCATATATTTTATGGGCCTTCCACAACGGCAATGAGCAGTTCGGTAAAGAAACAAAGTGCATTGTGTTGTCTCATATCCACATGCATAGTACTCATTAGTAGTACTATGAACAGAATTTAGTTTAAGGTCTCTGCAGTAAATTTCAGCAGCACTCCGAGGACGAAGCAGCATGTCCTTGCACTCCACAGGTTGGAGAAGTTTATCATCAAAATTCTCAATACTTTCATATAAGTTGTTCAGGCAACCAATCTCCCATTTTGATGCTTGTTCATGTGAGAGTCTAATAATGGTTCCAATAGGCATAGTCATGAGGCTGAAGAGAACATCAACGAAATCATTATTGGACTCAGCAAAGACAACTCGATTCGTCTCTTCATCCACCAGGATCTTCAGGCTTAGACTTTGTGAAGCTTCATCTGCCATTGCTTTGAAAGAGGGGGGAAGGAAAAGAAAAGGAAAGAATTGGCAACTAAGTATTTACCAGTTTTCTTGGCAAAATTCAGTTTATACATTAAGCAAATGCAGTCTGCATTATTGAACACATGATAGTTTATAGCTACATTCACCACTGTAGAAAAAAAATCTAAAGCATCATCTGACTTGGAGCTCAAGTAAATGACAAGGTAGGACATCCAACTAGAAGGTCAAAGAATCAAGGCCACAATGTTTCTTTGAAAGAAAAGAATATGTTATGTGATATTCTTATGATTCCCCAACCTTACCCTTCCCAGTAAGAAAATGGAGGACATAAAATTTTGTGATGTCAATTGGAACTAATACATTATAGAGATTTCGCAACTATATGTCCCACTTTCCCTGCCTTGTCTTTAGGAAAAACCTCTATAACATTTCTGCTCACTATTTATAATTAGATATAATGGAATGGAAATTCATACCACATAAACATATCTTATAAATATGGTGAAGTTTTGATGCAAAATTTTGTAAGTGTGAGCATTTGACACTTTCAGAATACAAACACACTCCCAAGACTAATTGTCAGTATGCACCATCTATTAACTTCTGTTAAGTTTGGGAGTACCAAATTGGTGCCTTGGATTTAGGATTGGAGAAATTTTAGTTCAAACTTGTACTAAATTTTTTCCCATTCCAAATCTAAGGCGATGCGGCCAAACATAGCATTTTTGTTTCATCTTCGATTTGACACAATTGTTGTAGTAGTGTGTATAACATGATCGGAAAACTAAAAGAGGGCCAACCAGGAGTGGAGGATATATTTATTTTAAGACAAAAAAAAAAAAAAAAAAAAAAAAAAGACGCCCAAAATTGAAGAGAAATATGGTAAATTAAGGCCTATCAGGTACTAGGAAAACATGGATTGAAAAAACCCAATAAATAAAATAAAATAAAAACAAAGAACTGCAAGCAGAAAATTTACTATGAGGTTTTGACGATCATCAGTTGACAAAAAATCCCTGGAATGTCATTGTATGCCTATGTTGTGGTTGGGAGCGCGGAATCAACACCTTGGAATTAGAATGGAAGAAAAATTAGTTAAAACTTGGAACTTCATTATGTCCAAATCCAAGATGCCGATTCGATGCTCCCAAAGCATAGCATCAACTCAATCAAGTAACTGTTAAAAGCATGAACCGCTTAGAATTATACCTGTTCTGAATAATCAAACCTTGAGTGCTGAACTCTAAACATGTTTTTGAACTTTTACTCATAACTGATTACAGAGTATGCACATCAGTCATGGGGTTATATTTGACTGATCACAGCGACTTTAGACTCAAATTACATAGAAACTAAAACAATTTTACAACCGTGAATTTGGATCATATTGTCCTCAAAACTAAAAAATAGTAACTGCACTACCCTACGTTAAAAATATACTGTATAGTACAAGAAGATGAAGAAGATCAAATTAAGAAGTAACACAAAAAATTCAAATCCTCAAGAATGGAAGAGATCGATGGTACCTGAACTGAGCAAAACACGAACACAGACACAAATATCTGAAAAATAATTTGTGGGTTGTCGATGCTTATTAGTAAGAAAAGAGGTGGAACTATGAATGATTAAAAAATGGGGATTAAAAGGTAAAGCATACAGTACATAAAGAAAAAGTAGCAGAAGATGATTGATGTGTTTGACTATAGGAGAGTGGAAACAATAAAGTCGAATACTTTTCCCGAGTCTCTCTCTCTCTACGTTGGCCAATTTTGTTTTTTTCTTTTGGGTGAATATGTGGATAACTGGATACAATATCTAAGATTATTATTATTTTTATTTTTATCTTTGAAAAACTGTGATTCGAACTTCGAAAGAGAGTGAAGTCACTCTTTTTAAAACAGAGAATGTTAAATATATAAAAAATAATAATAAAAAATTATTATTATTATTATTATGAGAGAAAATAAAATTAAAAGGACAGTATTAGTATTTTTATGGTTCATTAATTAATGACCAAAAAAAAAAAGTGGTAATACTTGATCATGCTAATTTGTGAGTAAAGGGAAAGAAACAATTTTATTGAATTTATCATTATAACCTTTTATATTTAAAAGGATTAAATTATATTTGTATTTCTTCGTTGTTAATTTACGAGTAAAATCAAGATTATGAACATTTCAGTAAACATGATATCCTTTTCCTTCGCTTCAGAGTGGTGAACACTTCATATTTCTTCCATTTTCTTTTATTTCAGTGAACACTTTATAATTCTTCCATTTTCTTTTATTTCCTTTCATTTCCTAACACAATTTCATAATAAATACAAGATCAAGTTTCTTTTCATCAGTTCGTTCCGTTTCATTTCTTTTATTTTCGCTTATTTTATACTCACCCTTACTTCTATTTCCAATAAAAGTATTTCATTCTTTCTCTATTTTAATTTTGTGCTGTGTTTTGATTTTTTCAAATTTTGAAGTCCAATTGTATTATCCTCAATATTGAATTATGTAGTATGGAGTAATAATTTTTGACAAGTTTTGATTTGCTATTAATTCTTTTCTTCTTTGTGGTAAACAATACACATATACTTTGATGCTATTTGATAAAATTAAAAATTAAAAATTAAATACTGAAAGTTTTAAGAGCTTAATTTTAAATAATTATTAAAAATAAATATTTTTTTAATACCTTTTCAAATTTTCAACATTCAGCATTTAATCATAATTGATAATTATGTATTTCATTTTAAGTAATAGTTGTTTCATAAATACTTAAATTACACTATCAAATCACATTTTATTAAATAAACGTTAATTTGTTCAGCATTAAACACTCTATTAAATGATCAAACAAATGTCTCAGTGTGAGTTTTAGGTGAGAATCGAGAAAGGATGGGCACCCGCCCCACCCCAGTTATGTCACAAAGTTATCACCATGCCCTGCACTTTATTAAAAGAATGTACTAAAATATATCAACTAAATTGCTTATTAAATTCTACCTCCGTCTTATAATAGATGTCCATATCTAGAAATTAAAGTTTTTAATAGAACATGCAATTAATGCATTGTCCCCTTTTAAAATTATCAAATTGTTGTTTTTAATTTAATTATATATAATTACAAAGTTTGAAATTTTTTAAAAAGATAAAAGAAAATGATGGAAATATAAAGAAAAAATGCTTTGACTTTTCAAAGAGGACAACTAATTTGAAACATGTAAAAAGAGAAAAATAGACTACTATTATGAGACAGGGAAGTATAATAATTAATTTACTTGATTTTCTAATATTAATTTCTTATATTTCTTTTTCATGCTAAATTTTTTTTTTTTTTTTCATAAACTAACAAAATAATGAATATATTATTTTTTAAAAAAAAAAGATATTAATGTAAGTTTAGTCAAGACGAGGTGAAAAAATTTAAATGGGGAAGGAGATGAATGTAATATAATACAAGGAATCTTCCGCTAAATAGAACTGAGATTAGGAAGAGGCCCAAACTAGAAGCCCATCTATACTTACCAACTGATCATAGATGATAGAACAGGGCGGGAACATCAACATTCATAGAACGACGGCAAGTATGGCGACTATGCAAAGTTTGGTTCTCTGAGTGTGTTCGTGTTCTTGTCTGCATATCTCCTAATTTGCCATGAAAAAAGGTTTGGCTCAAAAAGGATGAAGGAAGGTTCCAATCGGCTGCTATATCGCATCCGCATAAAGACATTCACATGGCTTGATGAAGAACAACGGTAAT